AATAGCCAAATCCAATTTTCATTTTAAATGGCTAGCTCTAATAGTGCAGCCCAGCTGTTATAAAACAGTACAATAAAATGTTTGAACATGAATGCATCAATGCTGGAAAGTGGACAAAACTGGCCGAAGACTAGTGGCATTTCACAACTGAAATAAAAATATTAGAATCCTATTAAAAACAATTGGGGCCTAAAAGGAACATTTATGGACATTGGTTTTTAACCTAATACATAAAAAGCTCCAGAAATTGCTTTAGCTCTTTCAGGAATAAATAATGTATACTTATACAATCTAGATATCTTTCTATTGTTAATTTCAGGTCATATATTTGTTAATGCTAAGAAAGTATTCCAAATTCTCCCTTTACTGGGTAAAAGAGGAGGTTTAGCATGACATCTTAAATGTATTATGATAAACAAATGCTAGTCTAAGACCTATCAAGAGCAAAGGGTCTTAAATGTAATCAGAAATCAATTCACTAATTCCAATACTCAATTGTACATTAGCATCTGAAATGTTCCAGTGGAAATTGTAGAGCCTGGCTGGTGTGGCTCAGTGCTTGAGCATCGACCTATGAACCAGGAGGTCATGGTTCAATTCCTGGTCAGGGCACATGCCCAGGTTGCAGGCTTGATCCCCAGTATGGGATGTGCAGGAAGCAGCTGATTGATGACTCCCTCTGATCACTGTTATTTCTATGTCTCTCTCTCCCCTTCCCTTCCTCTCTGAAATCAACAAAAATATATCTTAAAAAATAAAAATTGTAGAGCCAAAAAGTCTGTAAGAAAACAGATTTAAAAATTGTGTTTTTTTTGTTTTTGTTTTTTTATCTTGAAATAAATATTTTATCATCATCATCCGAGCAGCCACTGTATGTAATGATGAAGCTAGGAACTGAAGTTGAATGATAAATAGGACAATTTTTCAAAAGAAAACCTCAACTAATGGTCATTTTTCTATAAACACTTCTGCATTTTTATTCACTTTGTGAACTTTAACCCTCACATCGATAGCCTCTCATTTTCTTTCTGGCCTTTTCCTCTGCCTGCATGTTCCATGGTCTGGCCCCAGCTCCCTGGCAGGTCTACCCCAACTTACCTTACACCCCTCCTAGTGTTCACCCAGGGCCGGGACTAAATTCTGTTCCAAGAGCTCAGAAATGTCTTTACCGACAGAACTAAGTTTGCAGGCCTGGATTCTACACTCTTCTGAAATGAAACATGCAGGGCTTGAGCGGGGCTAGCACATTGTTTCCTCATTATTTCAAAAGAACAAGTAAAATACTTTTAAAATAAAAACCTTAGCATAACGGAGCCCTTAAAATTTTTGGAATGGTGTACCTGTCCATCCTTAGCTTACACTACACACAGAAAGTGACCCCTCGCTCTAGTCAAACTGGGTTATATATTGTCCCTAAAATACAACCAAGACATCTCCATCGGTAGGCTCTTGCTGCCTCATGGATATGTCTCCTTGAGTTATATTACAGACTGTGGTCTTACTCTGGTATTTAGTTCTTGCTTTGCTATTTAGCTTTTCCTATGCTGGCCTCCTCTCTAACAACTAGACCAGTGATGGCGAACCTATGACACGCGTGTCAGAGGTGACATGCGAACTCATTTTTTTGGTTGATTTTTCTTTGTTAAATGGCATTTAAATATATGAAGTAAATATCAAAAATATAAGTCTTTGTTTTACTATGGTTGCAAATATCAAAAAATTTCTATATGTGACACGGCACCAGAGTTAAGTTAGGGTTTTTCAAAATGCTGACACACCGAGCTCAAAAGGTTCGCCATCACTGAACTAGACCGTAAACTGCTTGATGGAAGGATTAGGCCTTCTGTGTCTCTGGATCCCTTACAACACTTATAAAGCGCCTGGTCCCAAGATGGGTGCTCATATGTTTGCTGTTTTTATTGGCAGAATCTACATAACAAATCACAAATGGTCATAAAAATCGGGACTGGACCCATAGATAACCTGAAATAGCATCTGACTATCCAGAACAGCATTATGCAGGCATAAGGAGTGTGGCCAGGAATGATAACAACAGCCAGCCCCTACTGAGTGCTTGTTATGTGCTGGGCACTTTTTGAAGTGCTTTACCAAAATGCACGTGATAACTCTATGAAGTTAACTACAATTGCTATCCTCATTTTACAGATGGGGAAACAGGCACAGAGAGGTTGGGTAGCTGCTCAAACTGGGAAAAAGCAGAGCTGAGATTCAAACCTAGGCAGTCTGGTTCCTGAGTCAGAGCACAAGCATGACCCAAAACTGTCTCTCTGCAGGTAGGCCAGAGACCAGGAGAGGGTGAGCAGGGAATAACCGGGAACTAGAGAAAGAGCTACCAAAATGTCTACTATTTTCGCTGTTCGTGGGCAATGCTTACCTGGGCCAATATATGAGAAATCATTTCAGTAATTAACCAGTTTCTCTGGTTTCTTGTGGTTTCAATTTTAAATGCAATTTAAAATATATTATATTGCATTTAAATGATTAGCTCTGAAAATGACTGTCATTTTTCCCCTCTCATTAGATATCTAGATATCTATTTATATATTTATATATCTAATTATAATTTTTCCTTATGTCTAATGACACTAGCACAGAGATAAATTATTTACAATTTGTCATAAAGTAACCACCTCCACCTGGTTAGAACATGGTAAATCATTAACCTCAATGGCAAAAGCAGAGGCTCCTGACTTCACCACAACTAGAAATAAAAACATTAGTTATAGCAGAGAGAAACTATTCTGCAGAGTAAACAGTATGTGCATCTGATATAAACACGTACAATTGTATAGGTCCCAGGCTGGACACAGGCCCAATCTGTTAATAAAGTTAAGTTCTAATTGTTTGTTTCTGTGACTTTGAACAGAAGAACACAGATAACCAAAAACCACTTTGGCATTGAGTCCGTATACTGGTATGGACAAGATCTGAAAGGGTCATCTAGAAAAGTGACAACCGTGACATAATAGCTGCCTGTTGTTTTTCTATTGCTTTTATTTCTGTCATAAGCATTGGGGTAAAAAGAAAACACACAGTGTCGATGCCTATGTAAACACAGTGGTCCTCGAGAGTCAATTCACTTTTACAGAATCATAGGAAGTAGCCCCCACCCCCAGACTCCATTCACAGGAAGTAGCCCCCACCCCCAGACTCCATTCTTAGACACTCACTTCAGTTTGCTACATAAAACCACATGTGGTATTACTGACAGACTCGGGGGGGGGGGGGGGATCAGGTTCCTGGGCAAAATGAAGATACTCAGAGTGGTTAATACCTAGGAACCTGTCCACTTAAGAAAACACCCTGGTGGCAGGCAGTACACAAAAGTCGCCATTGGGTGGAACTCCAGGTGTGGGAGGACTACTGTCTCCATATCCTTCACCCAGAAAGGCCATGTCATCTTTAGCCGGGAAGGTGTGAGCACAGAGTGGATGAGGGTGAGGTGTTACACCTGCCCAGCCATGTCAGCCAGATTAACTCTGAAAGTCAATCAGGCGGCTACTGTCACAGGCAGATCCCTCTCTGAGATGGCAAAGGCCAGGCAGTCGGTTTCATTTTGTTTTATTTCAACTCATTAATTCATTTTGAGGGAGGGAAGATGGAGGGAGTAAAAGGGCATAACTTTTTTTGTTGATAATCCAGAACCCTGAGGCTTTGAGTGTTACCACAGAGATGAATAATTCAAACTCCCCTTTAAGTAGCAGGACCCCTATTCTTAAAAGGCTGGCAATTTTTAAAAAGATTATTGTGTTCGGCGGTGTGCAGAAATCTCAAGCTTCATCAAGATGGGCTCAATATGAAGCATTTGTATGCATACAAAGTGGCAAATGTTACGATGATTAACAGTAAAACAAAGACTTAAGGAAATTACAAGGCAAAATTTCCTGTGGTCTTTCAGTAGTTATTTGTGTCTGTAGGTGATTTTGAATTTTATGACACTGTATTTTTCTAATTTCTCTAAAGGAGAGCTAACCAAATTCGTGGATTTTATTTTTTGCCTCAGCTTCAAAATGCCTTAGGGCTAAATCAGGCTTGGTTCAGTGGCAATCGAAGGTCTCAGAGCCTTCAGCATGTTTAAATAGCTGCTCTTCTGTTTATTTTGCACTGTTTTATCCTGTAAGCTGTCTCAAGGCTCTTCCAATATAAGCAGGAGGATTTAGATCTCAATAAATTGAAATTTGAATAACAGAGGCAATCTGGGTCTGGGGGTCTTGGAAGATTAGGATAACCATCTCTATTTCCCATTGCCATATTGTGCACATTCTGTACATATTACCCTGAAATCAGCATCAGTCAAAATTAAAATATTAACAACAGCAATAAGAATGATAATGTTTAGATTTAAATTGCGCTTTTCAGTTTATAAGGACTTTTATTTACAGTTTTTCATTCTGTTCTTAGAATAGTTTTAAAAGACAGGAAGAATAGGTGTTATGCCCACTTTATAGATGAAGAAACTGAGTCACTAAAATATTAAAACATGCACAAAACTATGTGGACAAGTGGTGGCAACAGGGCCAGAACTCAGTTCTTTCCAACAGCCTTGCCATAATTTGGCCAGCTGTGTCAACATCTGTGTGCCAACAATAAGACTTTCAATCATATTTTGATTGAATTTATTGCAAATGTCTTCTTATAAAGCTAATAACAGGGACATTATAGAAGTCTAATGTTATCTCTTTTTTAAAAAGATAACCAAAGCGATTATTCATCAGATCAATCAATTCTGGGATTGGAAGTGACAAGCAAGCAATGCTCAAATACCTTTCTCTAGCCTCCTCTTAATTTGATGGAAGCCATAAAAAACATGTAACTTTTTTTTACATGTAATTTAACACCAAAATATTCTGTCCTGTCATTTCTCATCACTCAAAATTCCCAGGAGTTGAATTGTTAGACACAGTAGAAATAAAAACCAAGAATTTCAAAGATACAGTCTAACATTAATAGACACAACAACAACAATTAAAAAGGCTTACCTTGCAGCCTTCACATGTAATGACACCATAATGGATTCCTGATGATTTGTCTCCACAGATCTTGCATGGAATAATTTCAATTTGAGCTGCAATAGAAGCACGCAACCAGTTAATTACATTTTCTTTTAAACACCTTATAAAAGCGTTCCCAGATCAGCATTTGTATAGTGAAAACTAATAACCTGCTAAACATTATACTGCATTAACTATTCATTGCTGAACTGTGAGGGTCCCCCTAGAGCCCTGGACTAAATTATGGCTGCTCGTTATATAATAGCTTTCGGGTTATTAAAATGGGTCATTTGAGAAGGTGTTTAAGGACCCACAAGAAGGCTGGAATCAGCATTTCAAAGCCTTCCAGAACCCGAGAGTTCGCAGTTTAGGCCTCAGAGCAAAGCAGATACTAGAATGTTTCCTCCGATCTCATTTTCCATCATTATTTTTAAAAGGCCATAAATCTGTCTTGGCTGAGCACTGTAGCTCGACTGGTCGAGAAAAATATGCTCCAAAAAGTCAAGACTACTTAGGAAAATGATTCAATTCCAAATATTCATGTTACTTATGATGGCAAGTTAAGAATTCCTTACTCATCCTTTTTTAATTAACACAATTGCCATGTGTTAAAAATGAGTCCATTTGTGTATGATCAAAACCTTTCAACCATAAAGATAATATCCTATCTGGTTTTAATAATGATGAGTCCTGACAAATAGAATAAGTAGCCTCTAAGTTCTTTACTTTGGAAATTGATTTCCTGGTACAGCACGCTTGTGTTTCTATCCAACTGATTACTTAAAGATGCCTCATGATT